TGTTCCCATGCGACGTACTCTTTTCTAGTATTCAGCTGAACCGCTTCCTCTATCAAATCGCTCTCCATGTTATCGGTTGCGTTGACTAATGACGCGATGTGTCTAAATCTTCTCATTTTATACCATTTACTTGGTCACGTGATATTTGTATCGTACTACATTGATGATGATGTCACCATTCGAACATGTTGTGACATGTCGTACCATGTCGAATGTTCGTGAAAAATCTGGTCACGTGACATGTACACTATTTGGCAACGTTGCATTTATATCAAATCGCATTGATAATATCACCGCCAAACATGTTGTGACATGTTGTGACTTGTCGTGGCATGTCCTTGAAAAGGATTTGCTTTTGATTACGTTAAATCTAATAAAGCCATCGACGCTTGCGAAATTACAAATGTAGCATTTTTGTTGTATTGAATTACATTGATGTTATCGCGAGACGCATTACATAACAAATACGATGTGGCAAACACCTAGCGTAAGATTTATGATAAAAATTCGAATATTAAATGTGAATTATTAGTTACACTATGGATGATAATATATATGGAAAATAAACGAATATTTAAACTGTATGTCTCAGCGTTTGAAATTATTCATTCTTTGCGATATTTATTCCTTCTTTTCCTTCTTACTTTCTTCGTGGTATTATATTACATGTGCCGACAGCATCATCGCGATCAATGATATCATCGCGTCTGATAATATCGCTGCACTCGCTTTAAAAGCATTATTAGAATATAATCGAATAAGTACAATATAAGTAAAATATAAATAAAAAAATATATATGTATATGTATATATTTTGCGTATAAGAATAAGTAAAAGGAGTCACATAGGAAGCTGCAATGAGAGAAAAGGTAGGTATAGGATGCACATGAGTTGCAACGGGCGGCATAACGAATCGACAGAAAGATTGTAAATATCGTTATGACGCTTCTGGCTTTGAAAGAAAGAACGCAGTATGATTTCATCATCATCTACCCCTCATTGATGGCACTTCGTTTAGCAGTCGGATGATGAGTCACCCATCTCCTAGACAAAATATCTTGTCCGCGTAATAGTTCCGCGACGCATTTTGGGGTGTGCGCGGGGTCCGCGGCTACGGCCCGCAACGCATTTCGGGGTTGGCGTGGGGTCCGCGGCGGCGGGGGCGGTGCTGCTCAATATCTCAATAATGGTAACATTTGATAGCCGGATGCTCTATGCACAACAATGGCAATTGCCTCAGAACTTATCATGTCGATCTTCTCGCGGCAACACTTTTTGATTTACTTTGTTTTATATACACCGACTGCCATAGATAAATCCTGGGCAGTCTCGCTACAGCTAAGAATGCTTCTTAGCGTCAGGCTTGTTCACGTCTTGTCCGCGCGCGGATGCATTAGTTATATTTAAAACAATATATAATTAATGGTGTATTGTATTTAACGTTCTGTTTAATTTCTGTTTCCGAACTAGTGTACACTTTTGGAACTTGAAGTGAGATAAGTATATGTTTGATATTTGTTGAAAGTGAGAAAGAGAATGCTAGTGCAGTCTAGTGCAGTAACATACCATAAAACGATGTATGATTAGCGGTGTTGTATTTAAATCGGTTAAAAATGAAATTCAGAGAGCCCTATAATTTTGAACAAAACAATGAGGAGGGGGATGACGATGTCCCTCTCATTGAGGCCGGCGTAAATGTCTGTCGGCGAGGATGCTTTTTTTTTTTCTGCTTTCGCGTTTCTTGGATAAATCGTAGGTATCGCCATAATGCCTCTCTGTACATTTTCCATCTCTCACTTTCGTCACGTGGCCAATCAGAATTAAAAATCCGTCCCATCTCCGCATCGAGTCGTGTTAGATGAGTTCCGGGAGTTTGCGCTGTGTTATTAGTGCTCGCGGTGTTATTCGAATTTTGCGGTATTGCGATTTCCTTTGACTCTCCGTCAGCGAATGACGTCGGATTCTGATGTAACTGATGTTGCATTCTCTCGAGATTTTCCGTCGAAATTAAAACAATTTTTTATCCCTCTCCATAGCGTTTTATCCCACTATTTCGTTCTTTCGATAACAGCCACACAAAAAATAATTTTTTTTCTGATCTTGAGCTCTGACCATGTTTACTGTATTTTTTTGGGGTCGCTGAATCAGAATCCGAGGTCTATTTAACCCCATCACATCAGGATTTTACCATAATGTAAGTCAACTCCAATAATCACGTATGTTAGACTTTTATCTTGATAAATACGTTATTTTAATTTATAACCGCATAACTCTGGTCATTGCCCCGTTCTTTGCAACAATTTTTCTTTTGTCTCAAACACCTGAAACATACTGTTGTGTCCTAGAAACACCTTCACCCGAAAAGTGTCTATTTTTATGTTTACTCATGTAATGTGAGTTTTTCAAACATTGTACTGTCGGCATTGGCGTTACCCGATGTACACCGTGGGGAGGTTGCACGATCGGGTTTTGTACATCATGTAGCCCTTAAAAGGGTTGTTTAGAAAGTTGGGGATAAAAGGAATATAATATTTCAATTATTCTCTTTTTTCGAGCTGTATCGAGTTCTTTTCTCTTCAAAAGATCTATGCAATGGATTTCTTTTACGCTTATTGTCTTGTTCAAGAGTTTCTCTTTTGAGCATCCAGCAAAAATCTGCCAGCATATTAACGTCCCACCGTCCCTGATAGGGAGTTTCCATAATTTTAATGTCCTGCTGAAAACGTTCGCCCTGCTCTTCACTGAAGTGTCCCAGGTTATCGGGAAATTCATCAAGATGAGAGTGCAGGAAATGCAGTTTCAAGTTCATCAAGCATCCTAGGTTCTCGTAGTCCTTTATCATCTTGGCGACTATTTCTTTGTACTGTGCACTTTTTCGGTTTCCTAGGAAGCTTCGTGCAACTTCTTGAAAACTCAGCCAAGCTTCTTTCTCCCGATCATTCATCTTACTGATAAAAACGTTATCCCTGAACAGTTTCCGAATTTGAGGACCATCAAACACCTCCTCTTTAATTTTGGCATCGGATAGTGTAGGGAATACCGTTTGTAGATACTCGAAACATTTACCCGTCTTATCAAGGGCTTTGACAAACTGTTTCATCAGGCCTAGCTTTATATGAAGAGGAGGGATTAGGATCTTCGATGGATCTACAAGGGATTCATGGATTCATTTCGCTACCCAGTTGTGAGGGACGATCTAACTGGCCAATCTTTTACCTTGTAATACTGATGTCTGGCTCTACTATCCCATAAACATAAGTAGCACGTGTACTTTGTAAAACCGGACTGTTGCCCGAGTAACATGTTTATGATTTTTAAGTCTCCACAGATCTGCCATGAGTGAAGCTCGTATGCGATTTTCTCCAAAAGTACTTGCATGTTCTCATATTTTTCCTTCATTACAGTCGAATGAGCTATAGGTATAGGAGCATAAACGTTGGTATTATGGAGTAACACTGCCTTAATGCTTCTTTTCGATGAATCGATGAAAAGTCGCCAATCTGTTACTTTATAGCCATTTTCTTTTATTTCATTCATAAGTCCGTTAATGTAAGTGCAAAATACCAGACCTTCATCCATAGAAAAATATTTCCAAAAATCTGACTCTCGATTTCGATAAAAAGAAACCTTCGTAAGTGGTTTTAGGAAATTTCTCTGCTTCATAAACGAAGCTAAGAACTCCGCACCGTCCTTTGGCAAGCCTAAATCCCGTACGAGGTCGTTCAATTCAGGCTGTGAAAGCAGCATTGGGACTGATTTTTTACTGTCTAGAGGAAGGTCGCTTTTACTGCCGGTATTATCGCTCTCAGGTTCATATTCATCAATTTCCATCATTTCGGTATGTTTAATTACGCTCATATGCTCAAGGACAGCTTCTTTTCTGTCTTTGTTGAGTAAAATTGAAGCCTTTACTGATGTCACGGTTTTACAATCGATGTTGTGTTTATTCTTAATATTAAATTACGTTATATTTTTTTTTAAAATTTTTTTTTAATTTATTTGGCTGAAGATGGTTCCAAAGTGAACTGAAACGTACTAGATGTGAATAAAGAATCAATTTTTTGGATTGAAGAAATAAGATTGCGTACTAATTACCACGCTGACTCTCATTCGCCCTTGTTCTTGAAGTTTTTGTGTTGTTCAATTTTGGAGAGTCCGAAAGAAGATTACATTATCAATTATCTTAATATTAAAATTCTTACTTATTTTATTCGAACAAAAAAAACAATCTTCTTTACAAAGAGGTTCGTTCCATTCTGCTGGACTGGAAAATTTAATTGCTTTTTTGTCTTTTTTCCAACGGTTCAACATTATTCTACAAGAATTACAAATTATATTGGGAACCCATGAACTTTCACCAATATGCAAACCAAAAATTTCCTTGTATGTGACTTTGATGCCATCATCTATTAGTTTCCGCAATGAACTAACTTCGTATTTACAGAAAATGTAACAAAACACATCACGATTACTATCACAATCGTGCAATTCTGGGATTCCGAATCCCTGTCTCGTAATATGCTTCAGTGCGCCTCTCATGTGGCATGAAAGCCTAAGAATTCACCGGAATGTTCCGTTATTCCGGAATTCACCGGAATAACTCACATTACATGAGTAAACGTAAAAATAGACATTTTTCGGGTGAAGATGTTTTTAGGACACAACAGTATGTTTCAGGTGCTTGAGACAAAAGAAAAATTGTTGCAAATGTAGGGAATAGTTAGATGGTGGTAGCGTCACATAGACAGGCGGCGCTGACGCTCGAGAACAAGGAATAGAGACAACGTTATGGCGGATTAGAACGAACGACATATCTTTCTCTTTTTTCTACTGGACAAATCCCTACAAATATTGGGGGCTCAGCCGGGATCCGACCGAAAAAACGAGAGAGTCGAGCGTGTCACTGCTTTTACGACGAGAAATTTGCCCTTCGTATTGAGGTTAGACTGACGAAAGTGAGAGCCTGGTCTAAGGTAAAGACGATTGAGATTATTAAAACGATGGAGAAACTCAAACAAATAAAAGTAATAGCCAATAATCTTAAGACGGGCCCTACGAAGGCTGTAAAAGCGCTACATAAATTAGTTTTCGAGCGGGAAGGAGATCGCGGTAATCGTAAACGCCTTCGCGAATTCGGCGGCTTTGCATTCGCTAGCGGATCAGAAGAATATAAGAATAAACTAACGTATGTGGACACGTATCTTGGATGGGTAGCAATCTGTAATATTTTGGCGGTCGACTACGCAGGCACAAAGAAGGAGCTAGGCCAACGAATCTATGACTACTTGATGGACCTTGACTCGCTTGACGACGCGAACGACGAGAGGAGAGACGCTGAAGAAGATGCCATAGGTGACGATAATGACGATAATGACGATAATGACGGTAACGACGGTAACGACGGTAACGATGGTAACGATGGTAACGATGGTAACGATGGTAACGATGGTAACGATGGTAACGATGGTAACGATGATGACAATGAAGTTAGAGAGGTTAACGACGATCAAGACGAAGACGAAGCAAGCAACGAAGACGAGGTGACAGGCAACCAGGTAGGATTATGAGTTCAACGAGAAATAAATTCACGATGACATTTAATGATGTGGAGGACTCAATAAAATCATTTAGCGGGGACGAGAAATACCCAGTGACACATTGGATTTCGGATTTTGAGGAGGCAGCCGAACTTTATTGTTGGACGGACATACAAAAGTTGATATTCACTAAGAAATCGTTGCGAGGACAAGCTAGGTTGCACATCCAAGGAGAACGAGGTTTGACCTCATGGAAAAAATTAAAAAGAGCACTCCAAGACGAATTCAGTGACAGGACGAACAGCGCGGAATTACATCGACAAATGGACAAGAGGAAGATGAAAAAAGACGAATCGGTACGAGCATACTTTCTGGCTATAAAAGAAATAGCATCAAGAGGTGAGATAGAAGAAGAAGAAGCGTTATTCCAATATGTTATTGACGGTATAGAAGATCAAGCAGCAAATAAAAGTGTTCTGTATGGAGCTAAAAATACAAAGGAATTCAAAGAAAAACTGAAAGCATACGAAAAAATAAAGACGAGGAATACAGTTACGAGTAAGGCATCGAATGTCACTGCAAGTAAAAAGACAGTGAAACCGAAAGAAGAGATTCGTTGCTTTAACTGTGATGAAATAGGCCACAAATCAACAACGTGCGATAACAAGAGCAAGGGTTCCAAATGCTTCAGGTGCAACGAATTTGGACACAAGTTACTCGATTGTAAGAAGGAAAAATCAAAGAAGTCGAAGGAGGATGCTGAAGAGGACACGAAGAAGTCTGAATCCATACACAGTCTTAACCCTCCTAAAAGCATGTACAAGACGATAGAAATCAAGGACAAGAAGTTTAATGCCCTAATTGATACTGGCAGCCGATTTAATATTATAAACCGAAGCTCGTATAAGAAGATAGGCGCACCAGTATTAACAGATTCCACATTGCTTTTCTCCGGATTCGATGGAAATAAAGTAGCGCCGATAGGATGTTTTGACGACGTCATGACCATTGACGACGAACGTTTTCAAGTGAAGATTTATGTTGTAGCAGATGAAGCAATGATGATGGAAGCTGTCGTTGGAAATGAGTTACTATCACAAGCCGAAGTTAATATAACTCATAACGACATTGTCATCTCCAAAGTACATGAAACGTTAAATAACATCATTTCTCCGAATTACGCTATTATATCAGAAGCACCTTCTATAGGACATGAAATTTGCAAGGAAAAAAGGAAGAAGGTAAAGAACCTGTTAGTATCATTCATAGCTATGAACCAAGAAAAGTCAAGGAGTCCGATGTTGAAATGACAATCACGTTGAACGAAGACCAGAAGATCTCTGCACGACCACGACGGTTGCCATTCCCTGAAAGAAAAATTGTGGCTGAGCAAGTAGACCAATGGATTGATGAAGGCATCATCGAACCGTGTTCATCAGAATATTCCAGTCCGGTAGTGATGACTAAGAAAAAAGATGGAACACCACGTATTTGCATAGACTACCGTGCAATTAACAGGCTAATAATGAAAGATCGCTACCCCTTATCTTTGATAGAAGATATTCTAGATCGCCTACAAGAGGCTCGCGTGTACAGCTCTTTAGACTTGAGAAATGGTTTCTTTCACGTTTCAGTGAACAAGAATAGTCAGAAGTATACTGCATTCGTGACGCATGCAGGGCAATACCAATTTCGAAAAGTACCTTTTGGCCTATGCAATTCGCCAGCTGTTTTTCAGCGTTTTATCAATGACATTTTTCACGACAATCCAAGGAATTGCATTGTCCTACATCGATGACTTGATAATACCAGCGAAAAATGAAGAAGAAGCCATCGAGAGACTGAAGTTGGTACTGAAGAGAGCAGAAGAATATGGCTTAGAAATTAATAAAAAAAAGTGCAAATTGCTGGAACGACGCATCGAATTCTTGGGACACGTCATAGAAAACGGAAAACTGTATCCTTCACCAGAAAAGATAAAAGCAGTTCTGAAGTTCCCAGAACCGAAGACGGTTAAGTAAATACAGAGCTTCCTCGGCCTAACAGGCTACTTCCGAAAATTCATCCCTCACTATTCCAGGATTGCTAAACCGTTGACCGATTTGTTGAAGAAGAAGCAAGTTTTTCAGTTTGAAACAGAAGAGGTCGAAGCATTTAGAAAGCTAAAGCAATGCCTAATCGAAGAGCCAGTCCTGAGCATTTATAATCAAGATTATAAGACGGAAGTACACACAGATGCCAGCCAGAGTGGCTACGGAGCTGTGTTGTTGCAAGAACTCCCAGAAGACGGTAAATTACATCCCGTCTACTTTATGAGTAAAATGACATTAGAAGCAGAAAAGAAATACTCCAGTTACGAACTCGAAGCACTAGCTGTAGTAGAAGCCCTTAAAAAGTTCCGGATTTACTTGCTGGGCAAGACATTTAAAATCGTTACCGATTGTGCAGCATTTCAGCAGACTATGCAGAAAAAACCTCACAACACGGATAGCAAGATGGGCGCTGCTCTTGGAAGAATATAATTACCACATCGAACACCGTTCCAGAACGCGCTTGAAACATGTAGACGCCCTCAGCCGTCATCCCGTGATGACGACGAAATCTATTAACGACATAACTCCTAAGATAAGAAGAGCACAGGAAGACGACGATAATATTAAAAACATTAAAAAGCAGTTAAAAAGCGGACCTTATCGAGATTACGTGCTACGAGGCGGATTGATTTACAAATATTCATTTGGCTGTGAATTGCTTGTGGTCCCTGCTGCTATGCAGAATGAGATCATAAAAAGTGCACACGAACGAGGACACTTTGCGGTTCGTCGAACTGAAGAAGAAGTAAAGCGTGAGTTTTTTATTCCCGATCTCCACGCTAAGGTCGAGAATTGCATTGCCAATTGTATCAAATGCATTTTAATAAACAAGAAATCACACAGGAAAGAAGGATTTTTGCATCCATTGGACAAGGGCGATATACCTTTGCAAACTTATCACGTGGATCACCTAGGACTACTGGAAACAACTCACAAGAATTACAGGCACATTTTAGCGGTCATAGATGCCTTTACGAAATTCGTATGGCTATACCCTACCAAAACGGTAACATCGAAGGAAACTATTGAGAAACTGGAGTCCCAGAAAAGTGTTTTCGGCAGCCCGAGTCGAATTATTTCCGATAGAGGCACTGCCTTTACTTCTGTTGAATTCGAGGATTACTGCCAGCAGGAGAATATCGAGCACATCAAAGTTACAGTGGGCTTGCCTAGAGCCAATGGGCAAATTGAACGAATTAATAGAACAATCATACCAGTACTCGCTAAGATGTCTATAGATGAACCCACTAAATGGTACAAACACGTTGCAAGGATGCAGCAAGTGTTAAACTCTACGTATCAACGTAGCATTGACACCACTCCATTTGAATTGATGATTGGAACCAAAATGAGGTCCAAAGAAGATCTCTCTATGAGGGAAGCAATCGAACGAGAATTAGCCAATTCCTATGAAGATACTCGAAGGCAATTAAGGGAAGACGCTCGAAGACAAATAGGAAAGGTTCAGCACAAAAACAGAAAGAGTTACAACTTACGACGCAGGGATCCGAATAAATACCATCTCGGTGACCTTGTGGCCATCAAACGCACGCAGATGGGACCTGGGTTAAAATTAAAACCCAAGTACCTAGGGCCTTATCGCATCTCCAAGATAAAGGCTAATGATACCTACGATGTGGAAAAAGAAGGACACTGTGAAGGACCGATTAAAATCTCCACCTGTGCCGAGTACATGAAGAGATGGACTACAGCCAATCACGACAAAGAGGGATTACCGAGGCGGATGATCATGCAGGACGGCCGAACTGTAGGGAATAGTTAGATGGCGGTAGCGTCACATAGACAGGCGGCGCTGACGCTCGAGAACAAGGAATAGAGACGACGTTATGGCGGATTAGAACGAACGATATATTTTCTCTTTTTTCTACTGGACAAATTTCTACACAAAGAAAGGTGCAATGACCAGAATTATGCGGTTATAAATTAAAATAACTTATCAAGATAAAAGTCTGACATACGTGATTATTGAAGTTGACTTACATTATGGCAAAATCCTGATATGATGGGGTTGAATAGACCTCGGATTAGGATTCAGCGATCCCAAAAACATACAGTAAACATGGTCCGACCTCAAGATCAGAAAAAAATTTTTTTTTGTGTACTGTGTAATTAGTGATAATAAGGTCGATAATATAGGTCCGATAATATAAGGTAAAAATCAGCCTTGCTGCACCGACAACTTTCTTTTATTCTTCCAATTACCACGTTTTGCAACACGCAGAGGCGTTTTGTATTTGGTTCACCGATTTTTTTCACAACGTTCGAAGGAGACGTTACCTTAGAGTGTATTAAAAACACATTCACAGATACAACGAATTAGTTTTTTGTCATCGCCGCGTAAGAAGGTTGTGCGTTGATTTTTGTTCAAATGATAGAGTGCCGCGAGGAGACAGGCGTTTCTCTTACCGATCGAATGTATGGTGATTTTCGTCGCACTGTGCGATTTCTTGTCACCCACCTTCATTGCGAGAAAAATCTACGTCTGACACGTACTATTACCCGTACTCGCCTTTTATACGAATCCGTTCGAAAATGAACTACATGACACGTAGACGTAATGAGTCGTATCTTCGGGAAAAATACACGTTCGAAATCGATACTCGTCCAGGGTTGATTGTTTCAGATTGAGCAGCAAATAGCCGTGAGGCCTCGACGCAGCGTCGTAGTATGCCTCTTCTATAAATTTTGGTTCGTCGGGATAGACTTGACGCGCTAAATGACGAATTTGAACGCGATCACGTGGATTTTTGAAAACGACGATGTAATTCGCGTTGAGCGATATATCGCCCTGACCATGGCCCTGATGGAAGAGAGATTCTGCGAGATAAGAATAACACTGAGATTCTCGTGATGACTGCCTTTGGTGAAAAGATCCACGATCGCGTCGCTCGACGACGATTCTCTCATAAGATTGTC